GCTAAGCAAGGCAATTACAGTGTTTGCATTACTCTGGAACTTCCTGTTATTTTATTGGGCTAAAATATAACAACTTTCTAAAGGCAAAATTTGAGATAGCAGAAAGTATTTTTCCAGTTTGTAAGGGAAATAAATTACACTATGACTTTCTTGATGTCAGTGCCAAAGACCTGGCAGAATTTTCTTGGTTTTTGTTCCAAATCTCTTCCCACACTGACTTTCTGTTCTGCTGTGAACCAGGCACCTCTATTGTCTGATAATCTGTTTCAGTCTGCTTGCTCCTAGAGTGCCCTCCTTTGTTGATTATAGTAGTCTGTTCATTTTGACCTAGTCAAATTTATGTGCATGAACTCTTTGCATTGTAAGTTTAGTTTGAATCTTGAGATTTAGTTTGATCTTGAGAGCTGGTTCCTTTCTTAGTTGAAAGAAGATATATAATGGTTTTATTATCCCCAGCTGCTGAAAATTTAGAGGCCTCCTAATAATTGTATGTTTTGGCAAGAAAACAATCTAATATGAATTGGATAAATCTATACCATGTCACAAATTAAAATAATGGGTTAACACTATTAAGAATGGGGTATGCAGCCAGGCATGGTGGCTCACGCCTGTAATCCTAGCACTTTGGGAGGCTGAGGTAGGCAGATCACCTGAGGTCGGGAGTTTAAGACCAGCCTGGCCAGCATGACAAAACTTCGTCTCTACTAAAAATACAAAAATTAGCTGAGTGTGGTGGCATGCCCTTGTAATCCCAGGTACTAGGGAGGCTGAGGCAGGAGAATCACCCTAACATGGGAGGTGGAGGTTGCAGTGAGCTTAGATTGCGCTACTGCACTCCAGCCTGGCTGATGGAGCAACACTCCATCTCAAGAAAAGAATGAGGTATGTTTCAAAACCAAAGAACCATAAAAAATCCATCATTTATTCGTAGATGTATTAGGTTTTGAAGAACAAAGATAAAACTTGGTTCCATTTTTAATAGTACTCTACTTGGTAATAGGAGTTAGAAACTTAACATTTATAACTCAAGATCATTTAGTAAAGGTCTATACTTCAATTTTCTTTCTTTATTTTGTAGTATTATCTTTTGAGACAGGGTCTTGCTCTGTCACCCAGGTTGTACTGCAGTAGCACCATCATGGCTCACTGTAGCCTCTACTTCCCAGATTTTAGCACTCTTCCCACCTCAGCCCCCCAAGTAACCATGATGATAGATGTGCACCACCAAGCCTGGGTATTTTTTGTATTTTTGGTAGAGACAGGGTTTTGCCACATTGCTCAGGCTGGTTTCCAACTGCTACGCTCAAGCTATTTGCCCACCTCAGCCTCTCAAAGTGCTGGGATTATAGACGTGAACCATCCACTTGGCCTTATATTTCAATTTTCTAAAATAAATTCTGGAGTTAATTTCTGACTTTCACACCTAACTATATTCTTTTATGATTTGGGCTCTTTCAATTAAGTCTAATCCCAACTTTAGTAGACGCATTAACAGAAAAGCCAAAGGGGGAACAACTCTATCAGCAACGAGCTGGTGGTACAGTATACGTTTTCCATTTGATTTTAATTAAAACAATTTTTGGCATGGTCTGTTTTGGGATATCATTAAACATATTTGCTTCCTTAGATGACTTTGGTGAAAGTAGTATTTACCCACTTCTCCACTGTCTTTTTCCTTAGATTTTAACCTTTGAGACCAAGAACCCGTCGGAATTAGCAGAACGTTTGCGCTCCGTTTGTGGGAATCAGAGCAATGCCTATGCCCGCCTGCTGGAATACCGCCTGAATGCCTTGCGAGGACTGTGGAATGCCCAGCGCCAGCTAGCCTTGGAAGAACAGCATGAAAGGGAAAGTTCAGGTGATGAGGAAACTTTGGCCCTGCTCAAACGCCAGGGCTTATTGCAGCAACCTGAGCAAGCACCTTTTACATCAAGGATGGGGCTCCTGCTGGTCTTCCCCCTTATTCAGTCCCAGAGTAGAACAGACCCCTCTCTCTGTAACATAACTGCTGAGGTGCTATTGAACTGCCTTCGTGACTGCCAGCCTTTGAGCTTGACCAAGGAGCCTGCTGACTGTCTCAATGGAATTGAAACTTTGCTGTGCTCTTGGCTAGAGGAGACTTCTGACACAGGCCGACACATCCCACATAAGCAAAAAGAAAATGCTGCTGCTGCCCTGGTGGCTTTGGCTTGTGCCAGGTAAGGAAAATCGAATGTACCACTTGGTGACCTTGTGACTACTGCCACCTGGTTTGGGTGAATGAAGAAGCAGCCAAATGTATTTGATAGAAGTCTTAACATTCAGAAGTCCTTCTTTGTTTTCAATATTGAATTTCACAGCCTTGACAGTGCATAAGATGCTTTCACCAAACTTGGCACCAGGTGCCTGAGCTGGAACCCAAGTTCACATTTTCTGTTTCTGGTATACCGTGATAACAGCTTAAACAGCAGAAAATGGAGAATCAACCCTTGCCATATCTAATCATCCCTTAGATGGTTAGTGTTTTACATCAAGTAGTTAGCCAAGGATGTTATGTCTGTTTCTCCTAGGAGGATGGTCAGAAATTTGTAGAGCTATTAATTTTTCATGCTTGTCTATAAAGAGTACATCAGCAAGCTAGTGGGCTATTCTTCTCCCGGACTCAGTCACAAAACTGGTCACAAATTGTATTTTTGGACCCAATACTTGTTTTCATCAGTTTAATTGGAGGGTTTCTTGGTCTATTTCTAGATTTAATAGTAGTACGCATGGCCGGGCACGGTGGCTCACGCTTGTAATCCCAGCACTTTGGGAGCCCGAGTTGGGCAGATAACTTGAGTTAAGGAGTTCTAGACTGTCCTGGCCAACACAGTGAAACCCTGTTCCTACAAAAATACAAAAATTAGCCAGGCATAGTGGCAGGTGCCTGTAGTCTCAGCTTCTCAGGAGTCTGAGGCAGTTGAATTGCTTAAACCCGGAAGGCAGAGGTTGCAGTGAGCCGAAATGGTGCCATTGTACTCTAGCCTGGGCAACAGATGGAGACTCCATCTCAAAAAAAAAAAAGGTAGTATGCTGTTCTTCATGTATAAGTTGATTTTATCAACCCACCGTCAATAGAAAATATGCTTGGAGTTGCTTTTCCTTTCCTTTCTTTTCTTTTTCTTTTTATTGAGACAGAGTCTCACTCTGTCACCCAGGCTAGAGTACAGTGGCATGATCTCAGCTTACTGTAACCTCCACCTCCTGGATTCAAGCCATTCTTCTGCCTCAGCCTCCCAAGTAGCTGGGATTACAGGTGCCCAAACCATGCCCAGCTATTTATTTATTTATCTGTTTTGAGACTGAGTCTCACTCTGTTGCCCAGGTTAGAATGCAGTGGTGTGATCTCAGCTTACTCCGGCCTCTGCCTCCCAGGTTCAAGGGATTCTTCTGCCTCAGCCTCCTGACTAACTGGGATTACACGTGTGTTCCACCAAACCTGGCTAATTTTTTGTGTTTTTTAGTAGAAACGGGGTTTCACTGTGTTAGCCAGGATGGTCTCGATCTCCTGACCTTGTGATTCACCTGCCTTGGCTTCCCAAAGTGCTTAGATTACAGGTGTGCATCACCATGTCCAGCAAGTTTTTTTTTATTTTTAGTAGAGATGGGGTTTCACCATGTTGGCCAGACTGGTGTTGAGCTCCTGACCTCAGGTGATCTGCCCACCTCAGCCTCCCAAAGTACTGGAATACAGACATCAGCCAGTGTGCCTGGCTTATGTATTCTTCTTCTTTTTCTTTTTCTTTCTTTTTTTTTTTTTTTTTCTGAGATGGGGTCTTGCCCTGTTTCCCAGGCTGGAGTGCAGTGACATGATCTCAGCTCACTAGTTTCTGCCTCCCTGGCTCAAGTGATCTCCCACCTCAGCCTCTCAAGTAGCTGGGACTACAGGCGCCTTTCACTATGGCCAGCTAATTTTTTGTATCTTTTGTAGAGATGGGGTTTTCCTTTGTTGCCCAGGCTGGTCTCAAACTCCTGAGCTCAAGCAATCTGCCCATTTCGGCCTCCCAGAGTGCTGGGATTACAGGCATGAGCCACCACGTCTTGCCTGGAATTGCTTTTCCAGGAATTTTATACATTCTTCTACCCAGTGACCCATATGATCACTGGCATCTGTTTGTGAGAAGGAAGTTTCACTACCTTTGTTTTCCTCTAAACTAATTATCTAGAGAACAGTTAGGACCACAACCTGACAGATTATTGTCACTATTCTGTCCCTCTTCCTTAGAATTTTTTTTTTTTGATTGCGTCAAAGGAAATTTCAGTGTTACCCTCTTCCTTAGAATTTTTTCTTTGATTGGGACCTTTTTTCTTTTTCTTTTCTTTTTTATTTATGTTCTGGGATCTTCTTTCTTTTAGCCAAACTTAGGGGGGAGAATTCTTCTTGGATAATTATGAAGTTCTGAGCTGTAAGTCTTCTTCCCCCGTTTTTCTCTTCATAGTTTCAAAGTTGACTTTCAAATGATTGAACCTGAAGTATTTGTTTTTTAAGGCAAAGTGGCACCAGTATTTATTGTAAGTTTCTTTGCCCTGAGCAAGCTGTCATAGCCTAGTTTTAAATCCACTAAAGCTGTAGTTTGTGAATCCTGACATGTGCTTAATTCTAGAGACATTGTGTGGTACTGAAATAAGTTTCCTTGTAAAGGCTTTATATTGGATCGATTATTTTCTGCATACGCAGAGACAATTACAAGTCCTAGATATGTTATCGATGTGCAAATTCCATTTGAGAAAATTTGCTTTTAGGCAGTACTGCCTTTAGACAAATTTAGGATGTTAGGAATAATTATCAAGTCTTCAGTTTCAAACAGTTTATCATTCATTGGTTCATTAAACTCACATTTTTATTATGTACTCAAATTCAATCTATACCGAAGTTATTGAAATTACTTCCTGTACTTAAGATTCTAAATTTCATTCAGCAGAAATGTTGAAATGGATGTTTTTATTTTTTTTCTTCTTGGGGTTTTTTTTTTTTTTTAAAGCATGGTTCCTATGTTTTATTGCTAATATGTTGTTCTGGACTTGAAGTCATGTGCTTTTCAGTGTTAGATCATCTTACTAAAGTTGATCTTTAGTAAGATCATCTTACTAAAGTAGCGACATACTACTGAATTTTTGAGGTTGATGCTCTCAAAGACAAAGCAACCCTTCCCCCAAATTATTATGAGGATGTTTATTCATTCAACCAGCTAACATTTATCTAACATTTCTGATATACATGAATCTTGCTCAGTCTTAGCGATATAGTGATTCCAGATTTCTTACCTCACAGAGCTTACAGTTGAATGTACTCAGGGTGATTCATTCTGCAAAACCTCATTGCTCATTTACTGCATGGAAGGTATTTTGTTGGTGGTAGGGATACAGTAGAGAGGTAGACAGTCTCTAAAATTGCAGAGTTTACATGAGAGTGAGGGAGGCAGACAGTTAGCAGCAAATATAGGTAAATGATCATTCCAGAGAAGACTAGTCACTATAGAAAAGACAGAGAGAGATTTTGATAGAGAATGTGGAGGTGGGGAGCAGCATTAGCAGAGATGCCAGGGAATGCCTTATTGAAGAGTTGACACTTGAACTGGGCACTAGATGATGAGAAAGAGCCAGTGGCAGAGAGTTCCACATAAATGGAGTGGCGAGTGACAAAACTGACATTCTTTTTGTGCTTGGGGTATCTGAAGGGATAGCACAGTGGGCAGGGTTTCTGGAACATGATGGTAGAAGGAGAGGGGCACTGGATGAGATTGGCAGGGCCCAGATAATGTAGGGGCTTGTGAGCCATGGAAGGACTTTACATTTTACTCTTAAAATCTGATTGAGGGCTGGGTATGGTGGCTCACATCTATAATTTCAGCACTTTGGGAGGCTAAAGCAGGAGGATCGCCTGAGGCCAGGAGTTCAAGACCAACCTAGGCAACATATTAGAGACCCTGTCTCTCTCTCTCTCTCTTTTTTTTTTTAAAGACACAGTCTCATTCTGTTGCCCAGGATGGAGTGCAGTGGTGTGATCATAGCTCACTGCAACCTTGAATTCCTGGGTTCAAGCAGCCCTCCTGTCTCAGCCTCCCAAAGTGCTGGGATTATAGGTATGAGCCACTGCACCCAGCCAGACCCTGTCTTTTTTAGAAAAAAATCTGATTGAATCTGGCAAGTAATAATTCCTTAGAGTTGGTTAATGGTTCTAAACTTTTCAAACGTTAAAGGTTTTGCTTCTTTATTTTAAACCTCACCGTTCCCCAGGGAAGTGTCCCTGTTGGGCAGATGAAGAAGCAAAAATCCATAGGAGTTAGGTGATGGGACTGAGATTGTACAGCTGGTGATTGGCAGAGCCAGGTTTTAGAACCCATGTGTCCCGATTCCAACTTGTGCTTTTATACTCTATCAGCTGCCTCCTTGCCTTCTATTTATGCTATTCTTTGGTTTTTATTCTCTGAAACTAGAAATAGTGAAAGGGGCAATTAAGAGGAGGACTCTAGGCCTACTTTGTTCTGCATTAGGTATTCCATTTCTTTTGGCCTTTAGGCATATGATACCCAGCAATTAAAGCCTTGGCTAAGAGACTAAGGCAGTGAGTCAAAGTCAGCCCATCTGATACAGGTGATCATTTAGTTCAGGAAATGTTCTTGTGGTGATTTGTACTTGGGATGCGGCCAGGTAAGTCTTATGCATCTTAAAAGTGCCTTCTTTTAGATCTTGCTGACCATATGACAGACTTCTCAGAGCCGTGAGTCTTGTAAACCACAAGGAATTCAGGTAGTGGTGAGCCCTGCTGCAAGTATTACAACCATGTGCAGTCAGAGGGATACAGAAGGAGCATCTCTCAGCACAAAGCATTGTTTATTTGAATATTTTCCTTTTGGTCATATTTAATGTGATGGAGTTTAGTGAACTGTTTTTCAAAATGAATGAACTTAGCAAAGATTTTTAAAATCAAGCCTGGAAATACTGTTAGACTCTAATTAGAGTCTAATCCTATGATCCTCCAGAGGGTGACTTGGTGATGAAAATGGTAACCAAGTATAATAGCCACAAGTTCTTTGTGCTGGAGCCTTATGTTTTGAACTTTTATGTTCGGGGAAAATTGTTTACTTTTCCGAATGCAAGGAGATGTCTTCATAATTGGCGTGATATTGTTTTCATTGTAACTTTGTGTATGACCCAATGGTGATAGTTAATAATCAAGTATATTTTGTATAACACATCATCTGACCAGCAGAAATAGAGACACGTTTTGGGACTTTTGCATGTGGTTAATAAAATTAGCATTAATGACCTAAATTGTTTAACTTTAAATTTTGATGATTTACTGTTCCTTCCTTTTATTTTTAGGGGATCATTGAAAACTTTTGTCCATACAGTCCATCTATTGCAGAAACAGACTGATCTAGGGTTCCTACCTGTAGCTGATGTGCTATATAGGTAAGTTGTTGCTTTGTATCCTTACCTTCCTTCCAAAAAAGGAAGATTTGTGCCAAATACCTCCTTTATTAAGTAGATTGCTAAACTCTTATCAATTCATGATTCATTTTTAAATAAGTATAGATCCATATTTACCTTCTTAAATAAGAATTTTTTTTTTTAATCTTTCCTTCTTGGAAAGTGTTTTTAGAGCATGTTATTTTTCATTCTTTTTTATTTCTATGCCTTTAAAAATGCAATAGCTGGAGGGGCGCGATGACTCTTGAGTGTGGTGGTGCATGCCAGAGTACTAGGGAGGCTGAGGAAGGAGGATTGCTTGAGCCTGGGAGGTGGGTGTTGCAGTGAGCCAAGATCGCCCCACTGCACTCAGCTTGGATGACAGAGTGAGACTTTGTCTCAAAAAACAAAAAAATTTTAATATGCAATAGTTTATAATGAATTCTGATTGTAAATTTTGAGATGATCATATATTAAGGTATAAAGAAGAAAGTGAAAATCATTCATAATCAAAGATAGCTACTCATAGGCCGGGCGCGGTGGCTCAAGCCTGTAATCCCAGCACTTTGGGAGGCCGAGGCGGGTGGATCACGAGGTCAAGAGATCGAAACCATCCTGGTCAACATGGTGAAACCCCGTCTCTACTAAAAATACAAAAAATTAGCTGGGCATGGTGGCGTGTGCCTGTAATCCCAGCTACTCAGGAGGCTGAGGCAGGAGAATTGCCTGAACCCAGGAGGCGGAGGTTGCGGTGAGCCGAGATCGCGCCATTGCACTCCAGCCTGGGTAACAAGAGCGAAACTCCGTCTCAAAAAAAAAAAAAAAAGATAGCTACTCATAACATTTTGGTAGATAGGCTTCCTAATTCATAGCCCACTCTGTCTCTCTCTCACATGCAAAAGTACACATAAAATAGATACATATTACACACAGATATAATTTTATTGTAACATTTTTATAAACAAAGCTTTGTCATTTTTTAATTTAAAAATATTGTAGCCTGCTTTGTAATCCCAGCACTTTGGGAGACTGAGGCAAGAGGATCAACGGAGGTCAGGAGTTCAAGACCAGCCTGGCCAACATGGCAAAACTGCATCTTTACTAAAAATACACAAATTAGCCGGGTGTGGTGGCAGGTGCCTGTAGTCCCAGCTACTCGGGAGGCTGAGGCAGGAGAATCACTTGAACCCAGGAGGCGGAGGTCGCAGTGAGCTGAGATTGCGCCACTGCACTCCAGCCTGGGCGACAGAGTGAGACTGCATCTCTAAATAAATAAATAAAAAAAATACTGTGAATATCTTTTGTGAATAATATTGGTATAAAATATTATACATCTAGTTTTAAGATTTTGGTTTTTACTCTTTGGGGTGGCAGGTATACTTCTTGCTGAAATGGATTGTCTCAGTGTCTTTGTGATTTTCTTTCTCTCCCATGTAGGCTATTGCTTTTGGAAGGGGGGCCTGGATCTCCCTCCTGTTTGCTGGGGGGCAAACACATAGTATCATGGGGTTATGAAGACATGTTGCCTGCACCAGATAGCAACACTGGCTCCAGTTCTGAAAATAAAGGTAATGTAAGAGTTTTTGTCCTGTGATTAATGCTAAGATGTAAATAAAGTGGTTTTAGATCATTGTAGCAAGTAATTTGGATATAACTCTGTGTGCTCCTTTTAATTAAGAGCTCAAGATTTTTATACAGTATGTTCATTGTCTGCGTTATCATAAAAGTCTAAAAGCTGATACTGGTGAGGTAAGAAAATGGATAGGTTTTATTATCATAAGGAAAATGTATCATCCATAGACTCTTGCCAAGGAGGCATGAATTACTTAAAGTGGCTTCTGGATATTTAAGTTGGGGTATGATAGCCTTAAGTTGAATTTTTTTGTCTGCCCATAGAATATCAGGTCCTACTGCTTGATAATATTTCTTTTAGTAATTTATTGTGTGTGTTAATGAGCTCTCCTGTCCTAAAAGCAAAAAATGAAGCAGTTCAAGGGAGCATGAATTGTTAACATCTCCTTTAAACAAACAGACTAGGTTAAAATGTTTTTATAGAGCTTTACAGTATTATGTGTCAGTTTCTTACATTATCTCAACAAAAATGGAAGAATCTCTCTTAACTGACTTGCCAGATGGATGAGACCCCTCCATTCACTCAATAAAATGTCCAGGCTGCTGCCGTGGCCCCCTGAACCTACAGGGCTGGTCAGCTCTGCTCCCGCCAGCTGAGTTGCAGGCTTGCCAAGAGGCAGGCTTGCTCCCAAACCAGTTTGTTAGTTGTAACTGGTACTTATTATTGTGATAATATCATTAAATCTTACGTAACTGATGAAATAGGAATGAAAAAAAAAACAAACAAACAGGAAATAGTCGCCATTAAGAAGTTGAATGCTCTAGAAAGACTCAACAAAGTGAGTCTCTAAGAAACTGGTGTTCATCAGGTATGGGATTGAGAGTCTGTTCCTCCCTACCTTTCATTTCCCACTTTCCATGGGGCAGCCTTCCTGGGCAACCCCATGAGCACGGAGGAGAATCTGGGCTGCAGGCCCCCTCGCATCTCTCAGCCTGCAGTACCCAAGAAGTTCTCAGACATTATAGGCTCCAACTTACATCTTACCACACAACTAAAACTTCTTTCTTGATTCTCTCTTTTTACTCCATTTGGTATTTCCCTTGGGGTAGTTTCTCACTGAGGAGGATGGTAGTAAGCTGATCTGTTTGCTTTCATTCTCCTGAACCTTTGGTTTTGCATCTAGGGA